TAGAAAAAGAGGTGCAGGAGCTCATTAGCATAACTCATTAGCATACCTTATTTGCATATGCCACACACCCTGACATTACTGGAAGTGTGTCAGAAGGCACCACTGGACTGTTTTGGATTGCTAGCTATTGTGTGTGTGTGTGAGGGGGGGAACGTGCTGATCTGTCCTCGCAGAGGAGGGAGAGCTTGTACCTGAATAAAACTTGGTCTTAAAGGTGCCACTGGACTGTTTTGGACTGGGGGGCCAGGGGGAGTTCTGCAACTTACCTGGCTGCTTCTTGGTCTGACTGAGGGCTGCTGGGAGCAGTGGGTGAGGCTTGTTGCATGTGCCCGCCCCCTGGGCTCTATACTGCCGGAGCTCCGCTCCTGTGCGCTCCTGCAGGAAATGACCCCTGGTTGTAAGTATTGTAATGTGAATGTACGTGTCTTCTACAGCGCAGAATGAAAATGCAACTGGAAACTGCTACCCATGTGGTGCTGACACACTGAAATGGATTGTTCAGCAAGCCGACCTGAAGCAGAGTGAAGTTCAGCAGAAAAAAAAGCAGGTCTCATGGGGCCCTGCCCAAGCTGGAGACACCGGTAATCTTTTTGGTAGGTGTAGTCCAAAATCTTCATGTGCCCACTCTTCAGCACCTGAGTACCACAACCGTCCACTGGTGACCAACTGCTGCACAGTTGCTACTTTAAATCATGCATGCAGTTTATCCTGTCCCAGGGTTTGCCAACACAGTTATACATATTGAATCCATACACACAAGTAACCAAGGACTGTGACACATCAGTCCTATAATGATCACTTTGCACCATGCAGCTACCCAGAATATAAGGAACTATGGTATACTGAACATATACCGGGGCACGTAGTCAGAGAGTGTAGGAGTTGGAAAGGACCTTGCATCTTCTTCTTCCTTTTTTTTTTTTAATGGAGCTTGTTCCTTGTGAGAATTTTCAGACCGGACAGGCAACTCCTTGGTTGGCTGCAGGGGTCGTTTTGTCGAAAAAGAGGTGCAGGAGCTCATTAGCATAATGCATTAGCATAACTTATTTGCATATGCCACCGCCCCTGACATCACCGGAAGTGTGTCAGAAGGTACTGCTCAGGCTCCACTGGAATGTTTTGGATTGCTAGCTATGGGGGGGGGAACGCTCAGATCTGCCCACACAGAGGAGGGAGAGCTTGTACCTGAAGGTGGGACGGGGGGGGGCTCTGCAACTTACCTGGCTGCTCCTTGCTCCTCATGGCCCGACTGAGGGCTGCTGGGAGCAGGGGGCGGGGCTCCCCCTGGTCTTACTGCCAGAGCTCCACTCCTGTGCGCTCCTGCACAAGGTATCTAGACCCCCCCCCCCAATAGGCCACCCTCAGCCATACCTAATTACCGCTTTTAAGTCTTGGCCTAACAACTGGCCCCACCCCCTGAACCTTTCTCCTGTTCCGTGGCCAGCCCACTCTGGCCCATGCATGCACAACCGCAGCCCTTCCCCAGCCAGTGAGCCACCCTCACGCCACATTAGGCATATCAGCCCAGACTCGGCCCACCGTTCTCCCCCGATCCCTGACTCTGTCCTGCCTCGTCCCTCCGGGCCAGCCCAATGTCTCTCCAGCCACGTTCCACCGGGACCAGACTTGCCTGGCTGTCACAAAAACATCTCTTCTTTTACTTGGCCTAGCGTGAGGTAAAAAGAGGGTGGTCAAGTGGAAAAGGTGGAGTAGAGCCATACAATTTGGACCTCAAGCAGCTAGACATAGTTTAAGTGCCCGCAGTGTTCCCTCTAAGCTGAGTTAGTGTGAGCTAGCTCACAGTTATTTAGTCTCCGGCTCACACATTTTTGTCTTAGCTCAGACAGGATGGCTCCAGAGCAAGCTAATTTATGCAGTAGCCAAATTGCTCACTCACAACTTTAATGCCAGTAGCTCACAAAGTAGAATTTTTGCACACGAGACTCCACAGCTTAGAGGGAACATTGGTGCCCAGGTATAGAAGGTGAGGGGAACAACTCCTTGATGCACTAAGGTAAAGGTTTCCCTCGCTCGAAAGCCAGTCGAATCCGACTCTAGGGATGCGGTGCTCTCTGTTTCCAAGCCAAAGAGCCAGCGCTGTCCAAAGACATTTCTGTGGTCATGTGGCCGGCATAACTAAATGCCGAGGCGCACGGAACGCTGTTACCTTCCCACCAAAGCGGTACCTATTTATGTACTTGCAATGTCTTGCTTTCGAACTGCTGGGGCCAGAGACGGGAGCTCACTCTGTCATGCGGCGCTCAGGTCTCGAACTGTCGAACTACTGACCTTCAGGTCTGCAGTCAGCATCTTAACTACTTGAGCCATGGCAGCTTCTCCTTTATGCACTACTTTTATCTAAGAGTTGCCTGAGGGCACACCCTTCCGATCATGTGTTTGGTTGTCCTGTACGCGTTCTGTCTCCAGGATGTTTTTTTGTGGGAGGAGGTTTCCACTACTGACTGCTCCTCCTCTTTTTTTCCCTTGCTCCCAGAAACGGCATGTGGACGAGACCGTTGTCAGACAGTCCCTCCCGTTGACCAAAATGGCTGCCTGCCAGTAGCCAACGGAGTGCTGAATCAACCTGTGGAGGACAGCTACTATGACCCCATGTCCATCCCAAATGTGAATTCCCAGTCATCGGCCACACTATTGCAGTACATTCAACAAAATGCCATTCCTGGTCAAGATCAGTGTAATAATGTCGGTGAGTAAAGCTGTCTGCGGTCTGACATGTTTTCTGTTTTCTCTTAATTGTGGCGGTGCGGACACTCCTACATAGTAGTTATGTGATGTATATCATTCACATGTGCTCAGAAGTACCAAGGTAATGCTTGGTATATACTAGCTATTTATTTAACGCTGCAGTCTGAAGTGGAACTAGATTTCTTTTGTGTGTGTGTGTGTTTGTGGTGCTCAGAGCTGTACATACTGTGGTGTAAGATGTAGTCAGGGCTGTAATAACTATGGTGAAGGTGAGCCTTGACAGGGAACTCAGCCCACTGGAAGCTGGTGAAGTTAAGAACATAAGAGAAGCCAGTGTTGGATCAGGCCAGTGGCCCCTCCAGTCCAACACTCTGTGTCACACAGTGGCCAGAATTACCAGGTGCCATCAGGAGGTCCACCAGTGGGGCCAGAACTCCAGAAGCCCTCCCACTGTTGCCCCCACCCCACCCGAGGCACCCAGAATACAGAGCATCCCTTGCCCCAGACTGTGAGTTCCTATCTATACCTTGTGGCTAATAGCCACCGATGGATCTCTGCTCTATGCTTATCTCATTCCCTCTTGAAGCCGCCCATGCTTGTAGCCGCCGCCACCTCCTGTGGCCGTGAATTCCATGTGTTCATCACTCTTTGGGTGAAGAAGGACTTAAGAACATAAGAACATAAGAGATGCCAATGTTGGATCAGGCCAAAGGCCCATCCAGTCCAACACTCTGTATCACACAGTGGCCAGAAATACCAGTGCCATCAGGAGGTCCAGCAGTGGGGCCAGGACATTAGAAGCCCTCCCCCTGTTGACCCCCCCCCCAAGCACCAAGGTGACAGAGCATCCCTTGCCCCAGAGTCCCTATCTATACCTTGTGGCTGATAGCCACTGATGGACCTCTGCTCCATATGCTTATCTAATTCCCTTTTGAAGCCGCCCATGCTTGTAGCCGCCACCACTTCCTGTGGCAGTGAATTCCAAGTGTTAATCACTCTTTGGGTGAAGAAGTACTTCCTTTTATCCGTTCTAACCCGACCGCTCAGCAATTTCATGGAGTGCCCACGAGTTCTTGTATTGTGAGAAAGGGAGAAAAGTACCTCTTTCTCTACCTGCTCTTTCCCATGCATAATCTTATAAACCTCAATCATGTCACCCCTCAGTCGTCGTTTCTCCAAGCTAAAGAGCCCTAAGCGCCTTAACCTTTCCTCATAGGGAAAGTGTTCCAACCCTTTTATCATTCGAGTTGCCCTTTTCTGCACTTTTTCCAAAGCTATAATATCCTTTTTAAGGTGTGGTGACCAGAATTGCACACAGTATTCCAGATGTGGTTGCACCATTGATTTATATAGAGGCATTATGATATTGGCTGATCTGTTTACAATACCCTTCCTAATAATCCCCAGCATAGCATTGGCCTTCTTTATTGCAGTCACACACTGTCTCGACATTTTCAGTGAGTTATCTACTACAACTCCAAGATCTCTCTCTTGATCAGTCTCTGCCAGTTCAGACTCCATCAACGTGTATTTATATTTAGGATTTTTGGCTCCAATGTGCATCACTTTGCACTTGGCCACATTGAACCCCATTTGCCATGTTGACGCCCACTCGCCCATCTTTGACAGATCCCTTTGGAGTGCCTCACAATCCTCACTGGTTTTCACCACCCGGAACAACTTCGTATCATCTGCAAATTTAGCCACTTCACTCCTTACTCCCAACTCCAAATCATTAATGAACAAGTTAAAAAGCAGTGGACCAAGTACTGATCCCTGCGGTACCCCACTGCTTACCCCCCTCCACTGAGAGAACTGCCCATTTATACTCACTCTCTGTTTTCTATTAATTAGCCAGTTTTTGATCCATAAAAGGACTTGCCTTTTATCCCATGATTTTTGAGCTTACTTAGGAGCCTTTGATGAGGAACTTTATCAAAAGCTTTCTCAAAAGCTTCAAAAGCTTGCTTTTATCCGTTCTAACCCGACCGCTCAGCTTTGTTATCGTGTCTTGTCTCTAAGCCGGGGGAAGGGGCTCCTGACTCCAAGCCAGGGCTCTTTTCGTAGCAGGAACTCCTCTGCATATTAGGCGACACACACCCTAATGTAGCCAATCCTCCAAGAGCTTACAAAGCTCTTCTCACAGGGGGCACTGTAAGCTGTTGGAGGATTGGCTACATTAGGGGTGTGTCACCTAATATGCAAAGGAGTTCCTGCTACAAAAAGAGCCATCCATCTATCTATCCATCTAGCATCTATCTAGCATCCATATTGCTACTAAGGAGGACAGCAGTGCTTGCTAGGGCATTTTAAGGCCATTGTCAGCTCTGTATTGGTGGGCTGCCCCCTCCCATTTTTGTTTCTACACTGCACAACGTTCCGTCTTCCTCTTGTGTTTACTTCCTCAAACATACATGTGATTTGAAATTTCTTTGTTGGATCTTTAAAATCAAGTTCATGGGATGGGATCCAGCACAGGATGTTGTCCTTACAGCCTCCCTTCTAATGCTGTCTGAAATGCTCCCCGAATGCAGCGGGCGGACGGGGGGGTGGGGGTGCGTTGGGGCTGCATCCAGACGGGGGAAGTGAGAAAGTTGTGATCTGCCAGGCAGAAGTCCTCCTGCACGTGGAAACGCTGAGCAGGACCCAAACCACCATTGCCAAGAAACGCCTAAGCAGCCTCACTTACTTTTGGATAGCAAAGAAGCATTGCTTGGTTTTAAGCAATAAGTCTCAGTGTGAGCCACTTTGGTGTAGTGGTTAAGTGCGTGGACTCTAATCTGGGAGAACCGGGTTTGATTCCCCACTCCTCCGCTTGCACCTGCTGGATGACCTTGGGCAAGCCGTAGTTCTGATAAGAGCTGTCCTTGAAAAAGAGCAGTTCTGGAAAAAGCTTTCTCAGCCCCACCTACCTCATAGAATCATAGAACGTTAAGAGTTGGAAGGGACCTTACAGGTTATCTAGTCCAACCCCCTGCACTCTGCAGGAGCATAGCCGAAAGATAGCCCTACAACATACCTGAAAGATGGTCGTCCAGCCTCCGCTTGAAAACGTCCAGCGAAGGAGCATCCACCCCCTCCCGAGGCAGACTGTTCCACTGCTTAACCACTCTTACAGTTAGGAAGTTTCTCCTGATATTTAGCCGGTAACGACTCTCTTGTAATTTCCACCCATTAGATCTAGTCTTTCAATCCAGAGCATGAGAGAATAGATCTGCTCCATCTTCTACGCGACAGCCCTTCAAATACTTGAAGACTGCAATCATGTCCCCTCTAAGCCTTCTCTTTCCCAGGCTAAACATACCCAACTCTTTCAGCCTTTCCTCATAAGACTTGGATTCCAACCCTCTCATTATCCTGGTTGCCCTCTTCTAGACACGCTCGAGCTTGTCAACATCCTTCCTAAAATGTGGTGCCCAAAACTGGACACAGTACTCCAGGTGAGGCCTGAGTCCATAGCAGAATAGAGCGGAACTAACACCTCCCATGATCTGGACGCAATGCTTCTGTTAATGCATCCTAAGATTGCATTAGCTTTCTTCACAGCCACATCGCACTGCAGGCTCATGTTTAGCTTGTGATCAACGAGAACACCTAGATCCCTTTAACATGTGCTGCTGTCAAGCCAAGTCCATCCCATGGATTTTTTGTACCTAAGTGTAGGACTTTGCACTTCTCTCTATTGAAATTAATTTTATTTGTCTTGGCCCACTGTTCCAGCCTATCTAGATCATTTTGAATCCTGACTCTGTCTTCTCTGACTCTATCTCACAGGGTGTCTGTTGTGGGGAGGGGAAGGGAAAGGAGTTTGTAAGCCGCTCTGAGACACCTTTGGGTAGTGAAGGGCGGGGTATAAATCCAATCTCCTCCTCTTCTTCTTGTCTGTTCTGGAGAGAGATGCTTCCAGACTCTTTCCAACTTTGTGTATCCAGTTGAAGTGAAGGGATCTCGGGTAATGTGGGGCTTTCAAGGCACGCGGCATGTGCTATATCACTGATAACGTTATGGTTTCTTTCCTAAAGGGATTCAAACATCCTGTCTGCAGTGATCTCTGGGGTTTTTCCCCCCCAGTAACAGGCAGCTACAAGACAGCCTGTGACGTCCTCCTTATTGGGGAGGACTAGTTTCCCTTTAAAAGTTCTCTTTATTTTGTTCTACTGGGCAGATTCTGCTGCCACCAGGAAATTTTAAGGATTTCCAAACCTTTATGCTTCTACTGTTGCTCTTTTTAGTTTGGTAGACCGTGTTCAAGGCTTACAAGGAACTTTGTGGTCCTGAGAAGTATTTCATTCAGAGGTGGTATAAACTTAAATAAAAGAGGATTTATTGAAATAAATACTAAATAAGAGGGTGATACAATGTAACTAGTAATGTGTAAATGATGTACAATTTCTTTGGTATCACACTCGACCTTTTCTCTCACTGACAGGGATCTTTTCATGTAACTTTGTAACACGTTTATCTCAATGCCTTATATGTTCACTGTTTCACTCCAGTTGGTTATGACTCTCAGACTTTCCTTTAACTTTACTTCATTTAAACTTTACTTTACTTTTCCCTATACATTTAGCTTTCAGCTCTCTTTCTCTTTCTCACTGAACAACCGCAGCTGTCCACTTCTAACTGCTTCAACACAGAACTGCTTGTCTACATCAACTGTCAACTTGTAACTGAAACTCCTTTTAAAAAAAAAAAAAAAAGAATTTATTTATGGAAAAAACTTGTAACTGAAACTCCTGACTGACTCACATACTCATCCATCCAGATTCACTTCCAAAACCCCTCCCCCTCACTGTCAACCACCAATCATACCACACTTGCCTCTCTCAACCACTCTAGTCTATCTACCACAGCCATGCAACCAAACTTTTAAAGAGACACACACGCACAAAAACAAGGAATCATTACACAGGCGCTTTGTGTTTCACTTTGCCCAGTGGGGATTATTGGTCATAGTAATGGTTATGCTACATTGCGTCATGGTATTTAAGAAGTTCCTGTTCTGTATTAGGGGAAACACCATACGATGGCAGTTGCTTCATCCCACATGTTTTTGTGAATGAGGAGCCTCAGGGAAATGGCGTGATGAACAACGCAGCTAGGAACGACTATCAAATGCCAGCAAACCAGCAAGCCATAATAGAGCAGAACCTGCTTGTACCTCCCACTGTCCCTTGCCCAGCAGAACAGCCCCTTCTCAACGTTCCTCCACTGCAGAACAATGAAGGTCAGTGAATGCTTCCTCCCTCGCTTGAAATATGGGCTCAGGAGGGCCTGGTGGGACTCCGCTGCTGAGCTGGACGGGGTGTGAAGGATCCCAGTGTGGGTGCAGCGGATACGCGCAGGCATGCCCCCCCCGGCCACGCTGAGCCAGGCAGCCCTCAGACGAAGAGGGGCAGGCGGGCGCAGCCCTGCTGGAGAAGGACTCTGGCGAAGGGGGGAACCGCCTTGGGGGCATCCCGGTGGGTGTGTGCCGGGGGGGGCTCTCTCGTGGCGGACCCTGCTGCCCGGCTCCTTTGCACCATGGGGACGCGGCGGGTCCTGTTCCCAGGCAAAAATGCCACCCCCTCGCCCACCCGCCAGCGGGCCAGGGCAGGGCGGGGGAGGACCCCGGCTAGCGGGGGGGGGGAGGAAGCACAAAGCGGTAGGGATGGTGCAGCCCACCCAGAGAGAGAGGGAGGGAGGGAGCTGAGTCGGCCAGGTCCTCCTGCTTCCCACTCCCTGCTTGGCCCGCGATTTACTACCCTGTTTTCTGCCGCCGCCGGCTCTTGGGAGCATAGATTGAGCGGGTGGGGGCAGGCAGCCTCCTTAACACCGCTCTGCAGGTGGGGCCTGGGGGCTTTTCTGTGTTTGCAGCGCCGCCGCCAAATCTGCCACCAGCCCGGAGGCCAGAGAAGCCCGGCAGACAGCGGCAGGAAGAGGCAGGCTCTCTGGCCCCCCTGTCTCCACCTGGCCTTTGCTCCGCTGTCTTCCCAAACCCACAGCTGGAACAGAAACACCCCTCTGCATGGCATGCGGCTGCCACTTCCACTTTGATTGTTGGATTTTGTGGCAGCGTCAGGACTTCAGCCAAGTGGGGCCTCTGGAATGCGCCCTCGGAAGCCTTTTCCGGTGGGCGCACGGGGGGGGGGGCGCCAGAAGGTAGCCTCACCTAGGATACGAAAAAAACCTTGAGCCGGCCCTGCCCCCTGATCTGCAAAGAGCATTCATGTTAGCTCGTTTTAATGTTCTCCCTTCTGCTGTATTGTACGGGAGGTTCAAGAAGACCCCATACTCGTCTAGGTTTTGTGCCTGTGGCTTGGGCGAGACTGAAAGTATCGAACACGTTCTCCTGTATTGTTCCTTTTACTGTGATATCTGCGCTATGTTTCTAGAACCTCTTTATCACAGTCAAGTAGGGTAATCTGATGACTATAAGATCGTTTCATTATTATCTTCCCGTAATCCTGAGATCATAGAATCTGTAGCTAAATTTCTCTGTTGTGCTATCAAGAGAAGATTGTTTCAATTGCAAGGGCAAAGGACGTATCCTTGTCTCCCTGCCGTATGTTCTGTCAATATGCCAATAAAGGTTCTGATTGATTGACAGACATCTGTCTGGACGGAGCACAACTGGGGCTGAGGAAGAAGTGTTGCTTATGCTATTGTGTGAATGGCTGTGAACAGAACTGGCCCGGTTGCTGCTTGGAAGGGCCTGGGCATAGAGATGTAAAATTTCTGGAAATTTTGAAGCACGGAAAAAAACTTGTTTTTTTTCCATTTTCCCCTGGGAAAAAACATAAATTTTTGGAAAAATTCAAAAAAAATTGCTACATTAGCACTTATTTTTTCTTTTCCAGATTGAAAGTCATTCTGTTACTTTAGGAACATAAAATATGATTATGGACATTTTTACTTGGCATGAAATGATCACAACTAGCATATTAAAAATATAGTGTATCCAAACAATTATTACAAACAGGATACCCACCCACATGCAAAAACGAAACTGAAACCTTTTTCTTTTCTCGTGACAATAGCACCTCCTAAAGGAAGAAATGCATCTTGTTCTTGCATTGGAGAGTTCAGTTTGTAACCTAGGACTTGCTTGTCCTCAGTGCACAGAAATTAGATCAATCTGATACCATACATATTTTTTAGAAATGATTTTGAAAATATTTGAACACCTTGTCTTAAAGTATTTTATTCATAATGTTAAAATAGAATGTTCCATAATCTTTTTTCTTTTCTTTTTTCAATTTTTTGGAAGAAAAACAAAAAAGGCTTCAGGAAAAAAATGGGGGGAAATGTTTTCCCCCCAAATTTTTCCGGGTTTTTTTTCTGGCCCTTCACATCTCTACCTGGGCATGGCCTGCTTTCTGTCTTAAAAGGCAATGTGTGGAGTGTCCCAGTACTTGGGGGTTTAAATACTTCCTGTGCCAGCTGCTTCCAAAGTTCTCATTTAAGGTGACCTTTAAGGTGACCGTCATCCCCAAGGGCTACACCTGATGAGACACAGCAGCCATAAGGTACCCAAACCTGATTAGAAAAGAACACGGGGAGAGTAATGCCCCTGATCCTATTCTTCTAATCTTCACTGAAGTGCTGCTTGGAAGGTATACCAACAGACCACAGGAACTATGTGTATGTGGTACCGCAGTGGAAGATCTATTTCATTACATTATGGTCTGTCCTTTATACTCAGGCCTAAGAAGTAGATTCCTATCTGGAATTTTAAGCCAACTTTGCAACTTACCTGACAATGAAAGGTTGGTTTTCCTCTTGCCGGACATGTATCCCCTGGTTACTCGCAAGGTGGCGCTTTTTGCGCTTGCAGCCGGAAAAGTTAGATCCAAGGTGGTTTCTAGTTGTCTAACATAGAGCTACATAGAGCTACAAAACTGGTTTTAAAACTTTGATTGTTTTATTGTTGAAATGTTATACAGTCTTATTCCTGAAAGCTTTGTTTTTAGAGCAGTACTTTTGAACCTTAAATTTATATTGTGTACATTTTGTATTGTAACGGCCTACGGCCATATGCAATACATTTACTTACTAGCAGGGGTCATTTCCTGCGGGAGTGCACAGGAGCGGAGCTCCGGCAGTAAGGAGCCCAGGGGGCGGGCACATGCAAGAAGTCCCACCCCCTGCTCCCAGCAGCCCTCAGTCGGGCCACAAGGAGCAAGAAGCAGCCAGGTAAATTGCAGAGCCTCCCCCCCCACCTGCCTTCAGGTACAAGCTCTCCGTCCTCTGTGAGGGCAGATCTACACATTCCCCCCCCCCCCCCCCTACCAACCAAAAACAGTCCAGTGGCACCTTTAAGACCAAGTTTTATTCAGGTACAAGCTCTCCCTCCTCTGCAAGGGCAGATCTGCACGTTCCCCCCCCCCCAATAGCTAGCAATCCAAAACAGTCCAGTGGAGCCTGAGCGGTGGGTGTTCCCTTCTGACACACTTCCGGTGATGTCAGGGGGTGTGGCATATGCAAATAAGTCATGCTGATGAGTCATGCTAATGAGCTCCTGCACCTCTTTTGCTACGAAATGACCCCTGCTTACTACTGTTCTTCCAATCTTAAACCCCACCACCAATGTTCCCTCTAAGCTGTGGAGTCTTGTGAGCAAAAATTCTCCTTTGTGAGCTACTGGCATTAAAATTGTGAGCAAGTTGATTTGGCTACTGCATAAATTAGTCTGCTCTGGAGCCATTCTTCCTGAGCTAAGACAAAAATGTGTGAGCCAGAGGCTAAAAACCTGTGAGCTAGCTCACACTAACTCAGCTTAGAGGGAACATTGCCCACCACCACCAGCTGCGTTGTCTCATGGTGCTTGGTTAATGGGAAATGCTGTGAGGAGGGGGAAGATGCTAGATGAGAAAGAAGGCGTTGAGAGTAAAGGTAAATGTCCCTGCACCGACTTTGAAATGTGGGGGTGGGGGTGGGGAGACAGCAGGACATCCAGTCACAGGTCTCTTGGAATCTTGCGCGAGAGGAAGGATCGATCTAGATGGCAGCTTCCGGGATTGCTTCTGAGAGCTGAAAAGGATACTCGCTGTAAAAGAGGTTGCCAGGAGTTCTTCCTTTTGGTCTTTACCACTGTTAAGTTGCTCGCTTAACAAAGCAGTCGGAGAGTGATTCAGCAAGAACACAACTTTATTCTTCCACTCGAACACAACTCCAACACGGATCAACGTCTGATAGCCAGAACAGCCTTTACATTGCAGCTGTCCTGCTTTTAAACATTCCCGGCTAATGTAGCCACACCCACTGTACAGATACCAACCAATAAGGTTGTTCACATAAGGACCAATCACGGATCTTCCCGCTCAGGGAGCTTGCTAGAAGGTGATTGGTTAGGTGTTCCCTGGGCTAGTAACACAATTGGATGGATTTGGATCCTAGCCCAGGACGAAGCTTTACATTATACTTCAATTGGATGTTTCACAACATATCATGCATTCAAGGCAGCTTTGAATACACTACAACCACTCATGCAAATCTGCACACGCAAATATGCCCAGAGTCCTTTAGACCTCGCTTATGTCTGCCTGGGCACGGGAACAGTCTCACTGTGCCTTGAAGAGCTGCTGCTGGTTGCTGACATTTCAGTTCAGCTGCTGTGCCTTTGCTAAATGGAGACATGATTCTCTCTTCCATACGCTCCCAATAGCTTTCGTAACTGGAAGGTTCCTGTTAGAGATCTGTGGGTTTTTTGTTTTTTTAAAAAAACTTTTTAAACGCTTTGGTTGCTAAATTGCAGCTCATGTGGAATTTAGTAACTTCAACGGAATGCGGAGTAAACATTTCTGCCATCACTGTTGTAGAGGAATTTGCCGTTGATCTTTTTCGGCTTCAGGCCGAATCACCCAGTCCACGGTCCTTGTGTCCTGTCGGGAAATGTGCCCTGGGAGTCTTGTGCTCATAACGTGAGCATGGATGCAACTTGGATTGGGACAGTGAGGAGGACAAGCGTTTAACCTACATGTGCACAAACGGCACCGTTTTCCAGACATGAAACGTTTCCCGGAAGCTGCTGTTTGCTCCATTCGGGAAACGGGTGTGTACTGATGGGCCGCATGCAGGCTTCCCCAGGGAGACAAATAGTGGCTCCTTGGGGCTGTTTCAGGTCAGGGGAGATGGTGTGGGGTAAAGTTGCCAGGTTCAGGCTGGGAAACTCCTGGAGATTTGGGTATGGATCCTGGGGAGGACAGGGACCTCAGTGGGGTACAATACCATAGAGTCCACCCTCCAAAGCATCCATTTTCTCCAGGGGAACTGATCTCTGCAGTCTGGAGATGAGCTGTAATTCCAGGGGATCTGCAGGCCCCACCTGGAGGCTGGCATCCCTAGTGTGGGGGTAAGGAAGGCATAAGTCCCTGTGTGCCATGGTCCCAGTCCATTGAGTCCCAAATATGCCAGGGAATTTAGTTCCAAGCACCAGAACTGGGGGACAAAAGGATTTTGTAACGTGGGGTTAAAGGTAAAGGTTCCCTTGCTCGAAAGCCAGTCGAGTCCGACTCTAGGGTTGCGGTGCTCATCTCCGTTTCAAAGCCAAAGAGCCAGCGCTGTCCGAAGACGTTTCCGTGGTCATGTGGCCGGCATGACTAAACACCAAGGCGCATGGAATGCTGTTACCTTCCCACCGAAGTGGTACCTATTTATCTACTTGCAATGTCTTGCTTTCGAACTGCTAGGTTGGCAGGAGCTGGGACTAGAGACGGGAGCTCACTCCGTCATGCGGCACCTGGGTCTCAAACTGCTGAACTACTGACCTTCCACAGCCTGCAGTTCAGCGTCTTAACCACTTGAGCCACTGCAGCTCCAACGTGGGGTTAGGTGTGACCTAATGGATGCAAGTTTTTTTTTTTTTTTAAAAAGGTTTTGGTTTAGATCCAGGATGCAACATAAACTATTAAAACTTGCCTCGTTCTCTCAGTTTTAGTCTGGCCAGATGTGGCTTCCTGGTTTCAGTGCTGGGTATTTCTTCGTAAATCTTCCACCTTTATTTACGTATCATCTGCCCGTTATTGTTAAAAAAAAAAAAGAGTTGTCCTCAGTCTTCCTATAGCAGCCTTATACTTACTTTGACAAGCCTTTACTGGCATACGTATATACATACAATAGGAAATCAGATTAAATATAGATCAGAAAATACAAAACCATATAGGGTAAAATTGGAGCTACGGCGCAGAAAAACAGCATGAAAGCAGAAAAACCTAGTGGTTACTTATCAGAACGTAGAGCCATAGCACTAAGAAGAAACCTTGCTACTATTTCTGTTATTTCCGTATCGGGATTATCAAGCAAAACCAGAACCTTAAAATCGTCACGAATCTCTGAGAATTGAGCTAATATAGGGTACAGAAGAACCGGGCGGGGCAGCAGCCTTAGAAAATATTGATTTGAACTCGCTGATCTGCTCTTCTCCAGCCCAGCCGCTTTCCAGTTAGACTACAAGAATAAGCACACCCTTGTTTCTTGCAGGGGCTGTCATCTCTCATCTGGGTGTCTCCATCTATTACCGTGGGAGGCTACTGCATGAAACCGAAGTGACCGTGAACAGCTGTATGTTTACCTACAACAAGCATCACCCCTGTGGCCCTGCTTTTGGCAACCCCCAGGTAGTACAGTTTCCAAACCCAGAGGCACTTCCTGATCGGAAACAAGTGAAGCATACCTTGATCCTGCTGCAGAAAGCAGGCCTACTGCTGTATGAAAGGAACCATCAGATATTTGCGAAACGACTGGATGGATGCAAAGTCTACTGGGCGTTCTCTAAGCAGCTGGACAACATAACTCAGCAGTCACAATTCAAATGTTTGATCCGGAATACAGACACGGAGATCTTTGACTACATGCAGTTTTGTCAAGGTGATTCCCTAGAAACGCGCGTTTCCTTTGTGCACACAGTTTTCTTGTTTTTTCTTGTTTTAAAATGGCGGCTATGAGGCTTATCCTTTTTTGGTGTAGTGGTTAAGTGCGCAGACTCTAATCTGGGAGAGCAGGGTTTGATTCTCCACGCCTCCACTTGCACCTGCTGGATGACCTTGGGCAAGCCACAGTTCTGTCAGAGCTGCCCTTGAAAAAGAGCAGTTTCTGCCAGAGCTCTCTCAGCCCCACCGACCTCACAGGGTGTCTGTTGTGGGGAGGGGAAGGGAAAGGAGTTTGTAAGCCGCTCTGAGACACCTTTGGGTAGTGAAGGATGGGTTATAAATCCAATCTCTTATTATTATTATTATTGCTTGCCAAGCAAAACAGCGGGGAGAACATTTGGAGTATGGGTTATTGAACTGGAAGTTTGGCATGCGTCAAACACTGGCCAGTCTTGTTTGTTTGCATATTGCCAGGGCTATCTTTGGGCAGGAACGCACAGGAACGGAGTTCCGGCTGGCTCCCAAGTTGGCCACACCCAGCAGGAACTCATTAGCATAATAGGCCGCATCCAACAGCAAAAACTCATTAGGATTGGCTACATTAGGGGTGTGTGGCCTAACATGCAAAGGAGTTCCTGCTCCAAAAAAAGGCCCTGGGTTTTGACAACAAACAAGGTAAACAGAATAAGAAGCAAAAGGTGGGTGTGGCTGAATTACCACACTTCTGGTAACATGGGGGTGCGGCCTAATATGCTAATGAGCTGTGCTGTCAGGGGTGTGGCCTAATATGCTAACTAGTTCCTGCTGTTGGGTATGGCCTATTATGCTAATGAGTTCCTGCTGGGCTTTTTCTGCAAAAAGAGCCCTGCTTATTGCGGTATATCACTCCATGGAGCAAAGTTTTATTTATCAATTAAAATATTTCTACCCCACTTTTCCTTTTGGCTTAAGTTGGAATCCTCTCTCCAGCCTAAGGGGCCTTCCTCAAAATCAAGTGTCTCTTCCGTTGGAGGAAGGCTGCTCGGTGGGTGGGTGGATTAACCCTACTGTGTTTCTATTGTGCTCTTCTTCCATCATAGGACCCAGGAAGCTTACATAGGATCTCTGAAAGGTGTCGCATCCAGACACTGATCAGACTGATCAGCTACTCTTGTTTCTTTTATTTCTGGGGTCCCTCCTGGGAGAATCTTGCCAATTCCAAAGGACTGTTTCCTGTCAGGGGACTCACTTGGCATTAGATTGAGCCATGGGCATCTCTGATTTATCTACTTGCAATGCCTTGCTTTCGAACGGCTAGGTTGGCAGGAGCTGGAACTAGAGACGGGAGCTCACTCCGTCTTGCGGCACACTCGGGTCTCGAACTGCTGAACTACCGACCTTCCACAGCCTGCAGTTCAGCGTCTTAACCACTTGAGCCACAAACCACCTCTGAATGCCCCTTGCCTCCAAGCCCCACTAGGTGTTGGCACAAGTCATCTTGACTTGATGGCAGAAAACAACAACCGGATTAGCTGATCGTTTCAGGTGGGTAGCCATGTTGACCTGCAGGAGAGGTGCTAGACTTCATTCCAGTAGCCTCTTAAAGACCAGCAAGATTTCTGGGTTTATGAGCTTCCAGGAGTCAAAGCTCCGTTTTTCAGGAGAGACGAAAGGAGCTTTGATTCTCGAAAGGTTATAACCCTAGAAATCTTGCTGGACTGCAAGGTGCGACAGGACTCTTCATATGGATTGGCTGAGAATCATTTCAGCCTTTATTGACGATCTCAGGGCAATTTGGTGTAGTGGTTAAGTGCGCGGACTCTAATCTGGGAGAACCGGGTATGATTCTCCACTCCTCCACTTGCACCTGGCTGGATGACCTTGGGCAAGCCGTAGTTCTGATAAGAGCTGTTCTTGAAAAAGAGCCGTTTCTGTCAAGAACTCTCTCAGCCCTGCCTACCTCACAGGGTGTCTGTTGTGGGGAGGGGAAGGGAAAGGAGTTTGTAAGCCGCTCTGAGACTCCTTCGGGTAGTGAAGGGCGGGGTATGAATCCAATCTCTTCTTCTTCTCTTCTTAAGCTTAAATCTATTTTTGCTGAAATTGACCTACCATATAAATGAGGTAAAAGCCTATATTGGTTAGAATATACAGTCTGTTCTCCCCGGAACCTTACCCGACGTTAACATATGGCTGTAAGAGCCTGCCAGACATTCTAATGGCTTTGTTTTTAAGCCCTAAGGTATTTGTATATTTATTTCCACCAGAACTAAAGGATTTCCATGAGAACCGAAGAGTGACTTCTCCTGACTACACCATCTACCTGTGCTTTGGGCAGCGCTTCTCTGCTGCCAAACCCAAGGAGTCCAAACTAATCTTAGTGAAGGTGAGAAAGAAGAAACCTCTTAAGGTTACAGTGCAAAGTGTTTTCTTTAATTGGGGGGGGGGAGATAGCAATTACCCCATGTTTGAAACTCTTGGAAAGGCTGCAGCTTTCAGGCCTCACCTGGAGTCCTGTGTCCAGTTTTGGGCACCACATTTTAGGAAGGATGTTGACAAGCTCGAGCGTGTCCAGAGGAGGGCAACCAGGATGGTGAGAGGGTTGGAATCCAAGTCTTATGAGGAAAGGCTGAAAGAGTTGGGTATGTTTAGCCTTGGAAAGAGAAGGCTTAGAGGGGACATGATTGCAGTCTTCAAGTATTGGAAGGGCTGTCACATAGAAGATGGAGCAGATCTATTCTCTCTTGCTCCGGATTGCAAGACTAGGGCTAATGGGTGGAAATTACAAGGGAGTCGTTCCCGGCTAAATAGCAGGAGAAACTTCCTAACTGTAAGAGTGGTTGAGCAGTGGAACAGTCTGCCTCGGGAGGTGGTGGATGCTCCTTCGCTGGATGTTTTCAAGCGGAGGCTGGACAGCCATCTTTTGGGTATGTTGTAGGGCTATCTTCCGGCTATGCTCCTGCAGAGTGCAGGGGGTTGGACTAGATGACCACCAAGGTCCCTTCCAACTCTAACTTTCTATGATTCTATGATAAAAGACAGCCGTTAAGAATGAGCAGTAGGCTGTGGATCTGGCCATCGGTGGCCGAGGATTGCTTGAGGAACAGAAAAGAGAGAGCCACGAGCTGTGAATTTAAAAACCAAGGGAAAGCGATTCATGAACATGTCTTCATTACAGACTTCAAAAGTGTTTTGATACTGGTTTTGAGAATGTGCTTAAGGAGTCATTGTTTATGGCCGCTGAGTAGTCTTACAAATGGGTTGCGTACCTGCACAGAGGGGAACAGGCCGAAGCTCTCTCCAGGGTGCTGGCGTTCATTCTGCCTCCCCATGAGCGAGAACGTTGACCCAGGTGCACGATGCCTGGAGGAGTGGGATGTGCGTTCCAGCTCACATTAGCGGCTCACAGACTCTTTGTGGCTGTTATTGCTGGGCTTTTTCTACAAAAAGAGCCCTATTGCATTCCTATCCCTGTTGTTCTGCCTGTGCTGAAACGCTTATCTTTACAGATGTGCTGGAGGAGGATGTATAGTCTAGAAGTCTCCTACGTACCGTGAGAGACTCTTGTTTCTCAGCTTTCGCCACCTAACGGTTTTCTAACTTCACCCGCACGCAGGAGGGTACCTTTTGCTTAACATTTCAACTTTACATTTCAACTTACCTAATTGGCCCATGCCATGGGGGGGGGGGTGCATACGAATACCCTATACCCTAATTGGTTCTGTTGGTTGCCGCCATTCTTAACAGTGCGTATGTTACTGCATCTACAGCTTTGCAATGGAAGTATAACCATTCATAAATGCGTGCACTTTGTTGTCAGCTGTGGGTTCTGACAGTCAGTGGCAGAGTACAAAGTGTTTCATAGACTGTGCGTCTAACATACTGATGAACCTCCTACCGATGGCTCCAGCCCCAGACATCTTTGCCTGTACATATAAAATATTTTGGTGGCCGGGAGGCCAAGTGCTTGAGATTCATAGGTAGAACTAACAGACTTCTGTATGTTTTTCAGTTGGTGCCAACGTACTGCAAAGAGTGGCATGAACTCGTGCTGAGGGAAGGATCCTCATCTTTGAGCAGTGACTCGAGCCTTCAGATTTCCAACAGCCTGGTGGATATGATAGAACAATACCTCATGGATATATAAGGAAGCGCCTTGGATGCTCTGTTCCTGGTGGGCAACTTGACTTGCATGGCTCGGGGAGGGAACTGAGAGAGTGCAATAAGCCCCATGTTGACTGTCCTCACTATTGTCGCCCTATCTAGCTTTGTACCAGTTGATCAGAGGTTAGAAGTACAGGCATTTGTGGGGATGGAGTTGAAAACAGCATTCTCTGTGTTGAGTCCACCCCCCACCCCCCAAATAACATATTGAAACTCCCTGTTAGGTGTCCTCTCTGTGAACGTCTCCATCCCTGCCTTCAGGATGCAGTGGTCTCTTAGGGAATATCACCGCAGGGTGTTCATATTATGGGGAAGGACGTGTCTGCATTTTGAGAAGCATAATGTAGATTCTAACCTGACGTCCAGATGTTTGGGGTATTGCTGAGGGTACCCGAATAAGTGATGCGGTTTTGTACCTCCCATCCCCACCCTGAATGAGTCTGACCAGATGGGTTGAGGAAGGCTTATGATGACGACAATGTATATTTGACCTAGCAAAACTAATCTGGGAGCTGTGTGACTCAGGTGAATTGACCAAAGTTGCATAGGGGGTTTGAAGGGGCGGGGGCGTTGTACTGTTTTGCGTGATTTGTTCACGTGGGGTAATTGAAGCACAGATGGGAGCAAGGATGCTACTCACACCTGGCTGGATGGCCTGGGGCAAGCCATAGTTCTGATGAGCTGTTCTCGAAAAAGAGCAGTTTCTGTCAAGAGCTCTCTCAGCCCCACCTCCCTCACAGGGTGTCTGTTGTGGGGAGGGGAAGGAGCTTGTAAGCCGCTCTGAGACTCCTTTGGGTAGTGAAGGGTGGGGTATAAATCCAATCTCTTCTCTTCTTCTACCTCACAGGGTGTCTGTTGTGGGGAGGGGAAGGAGCTTGTAAGCCGCTCTGAGACTCCTTTGGGTAGTGAAGGGTGGGGTATAAATCCAATCTCTTCTCTTCTTCTACCTCACAGGGTGTCTGTTGTGGGGAGGGGAAGGAGCTTGTAAGCCGCTCTGAGACTCCTTTGGGTAGTGAAGGGTGGGGTATAAATCCAATCTCTTCTCTTCTTCTACCTCACAGGGTGTCTGTTGTGGGGAGGGGAAGGAGCTTGTAAGCCGCTCTGAGACTCCTTTGGGTAGTGAAGGGCGGGGTATAAATCCAAACTCTTCTCTCTCTTCTCTTCTGTTATCATTGTGCAGCCATTGCTGGTTTCACTGCATTAAGCTCAGCGTGTATGAGTACAGCACGTACCTGAAAGCAGGCTTGTGATATCAAGTCTGCCTTACGATCCCTTGTAGGGTTGCACAAGATGCTGGCAGACTTTATCGTAGATCTGCCCCCACGTGCTCTGCCACTGTACTACGTCTGGAAGAGCACAGCCGCCAGGAGAGAGAGTCCTGCCAGCCACAAGTCTAGGAAGGCACTGTCTTTCTTCTAGAAAGCTGCATTCACAAAGGGAGCTGACGGTGCAATCGTACGCTGTCTGTGACCATTGATTTCAGTGGGCTTAGACTGGGCTTCAGTGGGCTCTAAATTGGATTGCACGAGAAGTGTCCTAATTGGGCAGTGAGAGGCGGCAGGGTGGCTGTATTATCTCTGCAGGGCCACAGTGTGTTAAACCTGCCAGTTGTATTTCTGTGGGACACTCAGAAGCCCAGTAGAGTTGTTTGGCGATAGTACAAAATGAATTCCTGAAGATCTTTCCTCTGAGGAAACAGGTTTTGAAACCAACACACTTTAATACCAACTGGAACATTCAGGGAGAAGAGACGGACTAAAAGTGGAATAGCTCCCAATAATACTAGTCTGCCGGGGTCATTTTGTAGAAAAAGAGGTGCAGAAGCTCATTAGCATAACTCATTAGCATAACTTGTTTGGATGTGCCACACCCCCTGACGTCACCGGAAGAGTGTCAGAAGGCAACACCCACCGCTCGGGCGCCACTGGACTGTCTTGGATTGCTAGCTATTGGGGGGGGGGGCGTGCAGATCTGTCCTGGCAGAGGAGGGAGAGCTTGTACCTGAATGAAACTTGGTCTTAAAGGTGCCACTGGACTGTTTTGGACCCGGGGGCCGGGGGCTCTGCAACTTACCTGGCTGCTTCTTGCTCTGACTGAGGGCTGCTGGAAGCAGGGGGTGGGGCTTGTTGCATGTGCCCGCCCCCTGGGCTCTTTACTGCCGGAGCTCCGCTCCTGTGCGCTCCTGCAGGAAATGACCCCTGCTAGTCTGTAAGAAGACAGTGCAGATATTATAGTATTTTTAAAGACTAGAAAGAAATATTTGCTCTTTGAAGTGGAGAATCCCCAGACAGTATGAAGCCAAGTCATACAGGCAACAAAGCCTAAATCTTGTTGTTGTTGTTCAGTCGCACAGTCGAGTCCGACTCTTCGCAACCCTGTGGATTAGATCACGCCAGGCCTAAATCTTAGTTGGAAGCAAATTAGGAAGGACTCTAGAGTGCTGTAGGTATTTCTGGTGGGTTGAAGTTATGTCTTCAGCTGCACAGGGATGAAAAGTCCATCTAGAGATGTTTCTGGCTGTGTTTTAGGGTGAGTATAAATTAATGCTATATAATCAGCAAGGTTTTTTGTTGTTTTTTTAGAAAAATAGCAGTAATTATGGGAAGAGAAATAATAACTTGGTGCCTTTTCAGTACCTTTGCTCTCTGTGTCAGTCTACTTGGAACAGTCATAAATTCCACATGGTAAAACCTTTCTAGAATTTCTTCTGATTCTAAATGCATCACATATCTTTCAGTGCAAAAATTCCTTCCAGAGTTGTGCTGGTTTTAGACTTTAATAATGTGATTTTTTTCCCTGAATGAGTAAGTTGTACAGCCCAACCGAAGGGATCTTTTTTTAAAGATTTGCAAGGCTGAATATCTCCCACAAATTAAATACAGTGGACTTGGGGTTAACACTTATAAGCACTTTGGAGCCCACTGTCAAAGGAATAATAAAAGAAAACAAGCTGTCTGCTACTCTGATATCCTAGAAACAATAAATCCCCCCCCCAAGGGAAAAAAGTGGAAGCAAAGATGCTGCTGAGAAAATGCCTAGAGCTGCTACAAATGCAGCAGTCATTTCCCCCCTAATGTGCAGCTATACATGTTTTGTGTAGTAAGAATTTACTATTTGTGCTATTGAGCTTCGGGAGCCTTCTTGCTGAAAAACAGAAGCTGGTGCTTGCCCACCTTCACTTTATTTTTCCCCTCTGTTATCTTTCCTTCCTTGTCACTGAAACCGATTTCACACAAGAGCTGCGCCTTGGTCGCGCCTCCCTTTGCCCCGTTTCTATTGGTCAATTTCCCACTCAAAGCCGTGCGGCCGCATTTTGACCAGTGGCTTCGCCCGATTTCCCCCCACGATTTCATGATCCTCAAAAAACAGGATCACGAAACCGCGGGGAAAATCGGGCGAAGACGCGGGTCAAAATGCGGCCGTCCGGCTTTGAGTGGGAAATTGACCGATAGAAGCGGGGCAAAGGGAGGCGTGACCGCGGCGCAGCTCTTGTGTGAAATTGGTCTGTGTGTAAACACATGCATATACTGGCTGCTTGCACAGCAGGAAGGAAAAAGAATTCATAGTAAATCCTAGCAAGTCAGAAGAGAACCTTGCGGAAGGGTGTTTGCCACTCCATTCAGAGCACGCACAGTGTCGAAGCACTCCTCTCCACTTAAGAGGATTTATGTGCCAGTTCTTTAGCTAGTGTTCTGGAGTATGCTAAACTACGTCTATGTAGGTGCAGAATCTACAGTATTTAGGATGGCACAGAAACACAAACTACTCAGAGCTCTGTGGAAGAAAACGCTGAAGGCTCTGAGAAGTTAAAAGCAGGCTTCCTGGCTGCTCGCAAATGCACTCCTCATTCCTTTGTATACAGAATTCTGTCTAGTTCAGTATGTGATCTTAATCCTACACCTCCTACTTGGCCTAGAAAGGTAAACGTAAGCCAGCTCTGCCGTCCCTTTATTCTCTCCCCCATAAATCTAATCTGCAGTAGCAACTGAACACTTTCAATGTGGGCAAGATGTGCAAATGATGCCCAAGAAGTCAGTGCTAAACAGGGGTAATTTCCTGCAGGAGTGTACAGGCGCTGAACTCCGGCAGTAAAGACCCCAGGGGGCGGGCACATGCAACAAGCCCCACCCTCTGCTCCCAGCAGCCCTCAGTCAGAGCAAGAAGCAGACAGGTAAGCTGCAGAGCCCCCCCCCCCGGTCCAAAACAGTCCAGTGGCACCTTTAAGACCAAGTTTTATTCAGGTACAAGCTCTCCCTCCTCTGTGAGGACAGATCTGCACGTTCCCCGCCCCCCCCCAAGAGCTAGCAATCCAAAACAGTCCAGTGGAGCCTGAGCGGTGGGTGTTGCCTTCTGACACACTTCCGGTGATGTCAGGGGGTGTGGCATATGCAAATAAGTTATGCTAATGAGCTCCTGCACCTCTTTTTCTATGAGATGACCCCTGGTGCTAAATATGGCTCATGCATAGCTGTTAGGATGCTATTGTGGGTCAGGGTTTCTATGCAAGTGAAATAAACGGGCTGAAGAGCTGCATAGAGCAGCAGAAAATAAGACTACTAGTAACCAACTATTATCACACATACTGTTGCAGTTTAGTTCCCTCTGGGAAGTATTGCGTAGCTTAAAAACACAAAAACATCCAGTGATTTTTTAAATGTAGGAAGGTGTTTGTTCCTGTGACATCCTAGAGAACTTTTGTTGACAGAGCATTGCTACAGCCGTCTGTTCTGGCCTGCTAGACAGCCCCTCGCCTGTTAATTCCTCGATATGACTTAGCAGTCCCTCTTTACTGCGCCTTCGACACCGATGTTAAATGATGGGGCATCTATTTTGAATGAAGATTTGAGGCTTACCAACTGAGTAACTTCTTAGCCACTTGAATATTATTAGTTAAAACAGTTGTTTCCTAGATGCAACTTACGGATTTCAATTGGAACATTCATTTTGATCGCTGGGGAGTTAGCTTTTTATATTCTAATAGGATTTCCCTTTTTTTATGTATTTAAACTCTGTGAGCTCTATAACTTTGAACTTTCCCAAAAAAACCTCACTTATGCTTTCACATTGAACCTTTTAGTATTTAAGCACAAATTTCCAAAGTCTCTTCTGATTGGATTTTTAACGATATCTTTAATTACTGTCTCAATACTATCTGCTTGAGGGTTTTCATGCAAGATTTTGTTCGGTATATCATGCACATAATGCAAATTTGTGTTCAGCCTGATGAGAAATCTCTAAATATTCTTGTAGTTTATGTTGGCTGTCTGGCATCAATGCACTTTTTAAATCTTTGCAAATAAACTGATATTCTGTAATGCTTCCAGAGGTGGGAAGTGTTTATTAGAACAGTATAGTCAAGGAAATAACCATGAAACATTTGAACTGGTCAGCATGATTCAAATGCACACACTCTTCTCCCCCTGAGCCTTTGGGAAGGATTTGTGCCAATGACTTCTCTTGTGCTGCTGCTATTCATTGGCCTGAAAGTTC